AGCTAACTTTCTATCGAACACACAAAGGACAAAGGTGACTGGAGTTGTAACTCCATGATTACTACAAATGATTCACCTTGTACCTGCTTACAGACAAAGACTTAAAACTACAAAACCAACAATTAAACCAGGGAGGACTTGGACTGAGGAGGCAAAGCTTGCCTTGATTACACTGATTGGAATATTTTTGAAGATACCTTTGTAGACCTAGGTGAACTCATATGTCAGCTTCTGTAAAGACCTATGTGTGCCAACCAGGACCCTGCAAATATATCGTAACAAACCTTGGTTCACAACTAAACTTAAGCAGCTACCTCATTCCAAAGAGGAAGCCCACAGAAAAGGTGATAGAATGCTGTACAATCAGGCCAGAAATGCATTAACAAGAGAGATCAGAGCAGCAAAAAGAAGCTACTCTGAAAAGTTAAGGAATCAGTTCTCAACAAATAAACCAGCAAGCATATGGAAAACTCTTTAAAATATCACCGGCTATGGCAAACCTCCTTCCCAGGCAGAAGGAAACCAACAACTAGCGGATGACCTGAATGTGTTTTACTGCAGGTTTGAAAGGAAGCTACAGCCACCTATCTAAGGGTGGGATTCTACTGGTTTGGACCAGTTCTATAGAACTGGTTGTTATGATTCTGTGCAGTTTGGAGAACTGGCAAATCATGCCCCTGGCTGGCTCCGCTCCTCTCCGCTCCTCTCCACCCACCCCTCCCCTCCTCACCCAGTCAGTCCTTATCGTGCATGTGCAACATTGCGTGCATGCCCGACATAGCTGACTGCATTCTTCCCCACCCAGTCACTCCTTAAGGTATTGTCAGGCCTCCAACAAATCCACCCTCCTTCAAATCAAAAGTCTCTAGCTGCATCTCAGAGAAAATAAAATCGATTTATTAGAGGTTACCATGTTGGCTCATGGCTGGGTGCAGCCGATACTAAATTACATCATACATTTCCTCATTGACCCTGGTCTTCCCCCCCTGGATAAGACTTCTCCAATGGGACACATCCATCTCCAAGAGTCATCCATCATATTCTCCAATAACCTTCTTATGCTCGGACAAATTTGGGCTACTAGGGTGATTATGTAGGCATTTCAAGAATGCCTTGTTTTCCCCCACTCCCTTTTCTGGCAGCTAAAAAGACCAAAGGAGTATCGCTTTAGTTGACAGGTATTTCTTTTTTCCCCCTCCCAACGATCAGCTGTTCCTATGATCAGCTGTGGCGGGATTCCCTTCGCTTACATACTGCTTCACCCAGGATGCTTCCCTAAGGTCCAGGAAGGCAAAAAATGGAGGGGGGGGTCGCAGCACGCCCCCTGTTCCCCCTCCATTTTTTGCCTTCCTGGGCTCCAGGGAAGTTTCCTGGGAGCAAAAACACCCCCCAGGAGGCTTCCTTGAGGCACAGAAGGCCCCAAAATGGAGCACAGCGTGGTGCTGCATGCCCCCCCATTCTCTGTTTTTTTCCTTCCTGAGCCCCAGGGAAACCTTCTGGGAGCAAAAACGCTCCTCAGGAGGCTCCCCTGAGGCTCAGAAGGCCCAGAAAACTGGGGGGAGGCTGCAAAAAAGCCACACCCACCCAGTCACATGGCCATGCCCACCTAGCCACAACTGGAACTGGTTGTTACAAAATTTGAATTCCACCCCTGCACCTATCTCCACAACTCCCATCTCAGACAAACCAACAACATCCAAACCGCCACAACTGACCCCAACCAATTGGGTTTACAACCTCTAGTGATCACAGAAAAAGAAGTGCAAGATCTATTTCACAGACAAAAGCCAGGAAAAGCACCAGGCCCAGACAAGATAACTCCTTCTTGCTTAAAAGTCTGTGCTGACCAATTGGTCCTCATCTTCACCTGAATCTTTAATAAATCACTAGAGATGTGTTCCTTCTTGCTTCAAACACTCTACTGTCATCCCAGTGCCAAAGAAGCCCTCCATCAAGGAACTGAATGACTGCAGACCAGTTGCTCTAACATCTGTAGTTATGAAAACCTCTGAAAGGCTAGTGCTGTCCCACCTGAAAGATCCACTGTTAGACCTCCTGCAATTTGCATACCGAGCAAATAGATCGACAGATGATGCTGTTAATATGGCTCTGCACCACATCCTACAACATCTTGAATCTCAAAAACCTACGCAAGGGTTCTCTTTGTAGACTTTAGTTCAGCATTCAATACCATCATGTTAGAGTTTGCAGCAGAAATTCAAGTCCAGAAAACACACAGATGACTGATTCATCAGGATCATTAACTTATTTATAAACATAATGATATGAATAAAGTTTACAATACCATTTATAGATTCTTTCAATGTAACATAACACAACAGCAAGCAGCAGCAGCTCAGAGCAGATATCACTTTTAGCAAGCAAGCCTAGTTTCAGTTTCAATTCTCAGCAAAGCACACAGAGCCAAACTACACCAAGGCTGTAAGCTCCTGTTGGCTGGTCTGTTGCCATGCTTACTCATTGGCTGACTTTGTTACTAAGCTCTATTCCAGTTCATGAATATACCCTGACACATCATTCCAGACATTCTTCTAACTTAGCTAAAGCAGCTAGCAGTACCTGAACACACTTGTAAGTGGATCATAAGCTTCCTAACAGACAGGAAGCAGCAGGTGAAGCTAGACAGAATCACATGTGATACAGCAGTGGGATCCTACCTGTTCCACTACTGGTTCGGTGATCACGTGCACGTGCACCTAATGTGCGTACGCAGCTTTCCACACACCAGCTGAGGCCTGCAGCGCCAATCAGCTGAGAGGATCACTAGAGAAAAAAGAGAGAAAAACACAGGTGGGTGGGAGTGCTGATCCTGTGCTTTTCTTTCTCCTCTTAGCTGATCCTTCTCTCAGCTGATCATTGGAAGCTTTTTTACTACTGGTTCAGCCAAATCGGGCCGAACTGGTAGCATACTACCAGTGATCTGATACCTGTACAATTAGCACAGCCACCCCCCAAGACTGTGTGCTTTCTCCACTTCTCCCTATATACCAATGACTCCATCTCAAATGATCCATCTGTTAAAATACTGAAGTTTGCAGATGATATAACAGTGATTGATCTCATTCGAGATGACAAATCCGCATACAGACAGGAGGTTGTACAACTTGCCTCGTGGTGTGACTGGAACAATCTGGAACTGAACACACTCAAAACTGTAGAAATGGTGGTAGATGTTAGGAGAAACCTCCCATATCACCATCTCTTACAATATTAGTCAACACAGAATCATCAGTAGAGACCTTCACATTTCTAGATTCTATCATATCTGAAGACCTAACATCTAAAGACCTAACATCAAAAATATCATCAAAAAAGCATAACAAAGAATGTTGTGCAGATAACATCGCACAGCATAGAACACTGATAAAACCTTTCAATGAAGAATATATATAGTCCAGGCTGGTCACCAAATATTAGCTATAGGCCAAAAGTCTCAAGTCCTCAGACTTCCATTTAGGGGAATTTGAATGTAAACGACAACATTTTACTTTGCACATTTCTTCAGACTTCAGTTTTATTTCACATTTTAATTTCCAAAGCAGACTGGACTATTTATATGCAATACCATTCCATAATTGATGTTTCAATGGAATTTGCATCCATTTATGTCACTTGTGTAAATGATGACCCAGTGGCACAAGTGACATAAATTAGTGACATTTATTTATTTAAAACTGGATTTAACAGACATTCTGATTTAACTGACAATCCCTTCTCCCCAAGTGTCTATGGAGATTCTCAGTCATCCAGGTCATGGTTTTTTTCAAAGGTGCATTTTCAACTGGACTTCCTTTTTTTTCTTTGAAGACGTTTTGCTCCTCATTCAAGAAGTTTCTTCAGCTCTGACTGGATGGTGGGGAAATGTCTTCAAAGAAAAACTAGAAAATCCTGTTGCTTCTTGAAAAAGCACCTTTGGGTTTTCCCAAAGTAGTTTCTTCAGGTTTTACTTTTTTAACAACAGTTTTCTTAATGGATTATTTTAGTTTGTACTATATGTTGTTCAGGATGGAAATATTGAACATCATTGTTTAAAATATTCGTATTCCTCCTTAGGATTAAATGTGCAGTCATATAATATAAATACACTGTGGTCATTCTCGAGTTTATTTTTCCTCCTCTCTCGTGCATTTGTTTTTATTTTGTTCTTGAATTAGCTTAAAAAAAGGTTTTTGCTCTGTTGTTTTTTTATTCAAAGAAAAAAAAACAAAGAAAGAGATGAGGACTGATTCTCTTTTGTGCCCTCTTTGAAAAATTATTGGTGGTTCTGCACTTTGTCCACTTCATATTAACCACAGTATATGCACATATTATTCACCCAAGGGAATTATTTTTAATTTGGACTAGAAGTTTCTTAGGAGAAAAAAAAAACCCTTCTGATGTTGCAAATGTTTTCAATTCATTATTTAAATAATATAAATGCTTATTCGTCCTGAGGACCATTCCTTATGTAGCCAATATAATACTGGAAAAGGATATAGAAAGGTGCCCATCTGGAATTGGTTTCATATATGTTCAGTTTTCAGACCCTGAGATGGTTCAACAATGATTGGTGCAACATCCTGCTAACTTTTAAGACGGGGGTCCACAAACTTAGCAACTTTAAGACTTGTGGGTTTCAACTCCCAGAATTCTCCAGCCTGGGAGTTAAAGTCGATAAGTCTTAAAGTTGCTAAGTTTTGAGACGTCTGTTTTAAGATTACATATGCAACACTTGTCCAATTAAGCTTCAGTTAGATATTTTGTGCATGGATGTGTTGCTGTCAGTGTGTTTACTGTGCTGTTTTAAGATAGATGATTTTACATGGTGTTATTATTTGTACTTTAGCCTTTTGCTCCAGAGGACATTTTAATGAAATGTATAAATCAACCAATCAATCAAATAAATAAATGCAAGCATAAATCAGAGACTAAGCCATTCTGAAGGGTAAAAAAAAGTTTAATGCTAATCATTTGTACTTCAACATTTTTCACCCTGACAGATCTTTGGCTGCTGGGTTTGGATCCTTGTAGCAGCTACCACAGTCTATTTCCCTTTGCTGCAAGGATGGGTCATGTACGTCTCGATCAGCTCCTTTGTCATCTCCTTTCTCCTCCTCCTGAGTTACTTATTTGGCTTCCATAAACAGTTTAAATCCTGGAGAATTCTGGTAAGGTGGCAACAACTCCTGTAGCTTAAAGAGATTTGAAGTGGGTAAATACTCTCAGATCATGAATGGGCTGCTTACCAGAATGATTTGGTCCGTACTTCATGTGCAATTACTGCATAATAATGAATAGAGGTTGAAGAATTCCACATTTCCTTCTTGGGTTTTTTTTTTTTAACACTGTCCGTATCTACTTCTCTCTTCTTTTAGGATAGTCTTTATCATGGAGCCACAGGCATTTTTTATCTGAGTGCTGCTGTGTTGCAGGCAAATGCAACAATCCATTCAGAGACTGAAGTGCCACCTCAATATATCCCTCTCTATTATCAGCTCAATGTTGCAGCCACGGTAAGAACCTCACATCACCTGAGCAACTACGTCTTCTGTTTGAAAGCTCACATTTCAGTTCTTGCTGGTGACATTTTATTGCGGGAACCAGAATGAAAACAGCAGGGCAGCCCCTGCTAGGCTTAACACTTCAAAAAGTCTTCCTTTATCTGCTCAGATGCTTCATCTGTTTCCCATCCTAATACTCTTTCATTTAAATGCATGCTATGCTGTTTTTATGAAGGAAGTACTAAGTCTTAAGTCCAGCCATTGTAAGGAAGCTCCTAATAGATACAAGTCAACTCATAGGCCACAAGCTAGATAATCTTTGTTCTGAACTGTTGTTTGCATTAAATCAGTGCTTCCTGAACCTGGATAAATTACCCAAAACTGGGTAAAAAGTGTTTTTTCTTTGGGAAACAACACCCAAATCCACTTCCCATCACAACAGGGACATTTAAATTGACTTAAAGATTTCCACATGTATCAAAAAGTATTTGTAAATCTCCCAAAATATTCCTTAAGATGAAAGTTGATGAAATTATCAATGAAATTTTGTTGAAATGAAAAAAAGTTAAACTTAATGATATTATTTTTATAATACGTGTGTCATGTCCCTATAATACATGTACATGTCCCTTCCTTCCTTCCTTCCTTCCTTCCTTCCTTCCTTCCTTCCTTCCTTCCTTCCTTCCTCCCTCCTTCCCTCCCTCCCTCCCTCCCTCTCTTTCTTTCTTTCTTTCTTTCTTTCTTTCTTTCTTTCTTTCTTTCTTTCTTTCTTTCTTTCTTTCTTTCTTTCTTTCTTTCTCTCTCTCTCTCTCTCTCTCTCTCTCTCTTCTCATCTGTTTTTGTTGATTTTTAAAAAACATCTTTGTTATACTGTGAGCCCCCCCCCCAGCCTAATCTGAGTAAATTAAATTAAACTACATTACAACTTTTGGTTTGTATTAAGCAGTATTAACTTTCACATAGCACATGGTCTGCTTTATGGGTTAAGCATGTCTAACTCTACCTATTTAGTATTGGATTTATAATAATCACTTATCTAGGGAAGAAGCCTAGGGTTTCTAGGGTTTCAGCATAAGGTTGTAGGCTAAACAAGGCAAGAAAATACAGAGCAAGAGTTGATAAAATATACAGACTTGTCAGATGTTCTATAACTTCTCAAACTGATAAACAAAGTAATTAATTCAGGATAGGGATTAGGAGGTTTTGAGTGTAAACAGTGAAAGGGACTTGCAAGCTAAACTACTCCATTAGACTGTAGGAGTTTAACTCAACAAGAGAACTAGGAGTCTGAATGTTGGAGAGGAAGCCCTGAGCATCAGAGAAGCATTGCCAACATAAGATGGTTTGTTCATCCCGCATGTTCCTTTTGGTTAATGGTAAATTTAATGTGCTTCCCAGGCCACACAGATATACAAAGAAACTCATGGCTCATTAGGAAGGTCTGCTCTTTGACATCTGGGTTCTTTGGAGGGAGGGACTACAGCTTGCATGTCACTACAAAAAATAGAAGTTGTATGATGCTAACACCTTTGAAGGCCAGGAGCCTGGAAAATTAGAAACTATGTAACAAAACTGGTTTTTTCTGTGTTTGCTCAGATTTTCTTCACCTTCATTTTACCCTTCAACAACCCAGCAAGCTGGGTAGCTGAAAGAGAAACAAGTGTAAAGTTAGTTCTTGACTCATTTTGAAACTGAATTTAGAACTATTCCTAGTCTAATGTGCTAACTTGCATTGGGAATAGGAATAATAATGTTGCTATTTTTCCCCTTTTTCAGTTCTTTGCCTTCATCACTACACTGCTGTATATTTTGCATGCCTTCAGCAACTACTACCACTGAAAGGACATGAGCTGGAATTTGTATCCCCAAACTGTTAACATTTAAGAAGATAATTCAGTTGCAACTGAATTCACCCATCATCTGGCACCATCTCATTTTAGGTGAAGCAAATACATGTTTTTTAAAACCTGTATTGTAGCATGCTACTGAGTTCTATATGTAAAACTACTCAACTTACTGTAATCTTTCTCATGCTTGTAATTATCCCAAATCATTACTCCCCCCCCCCATATCAAAGCCTTCATAAATAATGTACATAAAATAGGGGGGATTTCTGTTTTCAGTGAACTATCTTCACATTTCCTCTTCTGTGAAGGAATTCTTGTTGGTTTGCTATGGTATCTTGCATGTGGCAGAAGATTCTTGGTTCATATATTGAGGTGGCCAGTTTCCAATTCACACAAACCGTAAATAAAATAGCATATAGCAGTGTTTCTCAACATTGGCAATTTGGAGATATGTGGACTTCAACTGCCTGAGGGATTCTGGAAGTTGAAGTCCAGACAATTAATTGTTAAGCTGCTAAGACTGAGAAACACTGATGTATAGTATATATTATAATGCTACACGACTCAGTGTATGCCTTAAAAACCCATCATCCAATTTCTTGTACTTGCACAACCAGGAAAGATTGTGTAGCGGTTGGCAACCTTGGGAAGTGTGTCTGTTTTCTAATCGATAAAGCTTCCAGAGAATTTCGAATTCCTCTACAACATTGCTTGAAAACTTTTTCCCATTTGGAGGCAACAGATTATTCATTTAGGCTACAGCAAATAATCTGTTGCCTCCAAATGGCCTGTGGAATAATTATCAAGATGTCTGGGAAGAGAAATTCACACACATTATGGTAGCTGTGATATAAATAATTTTTTATCTCATTAATTTTATGTATGATTTCTAGCTTAAGTAAGTATGAAGCTAAAGTGGCAACATAATACAAAATACCATCTGTTTCAGTGGTGGGATTCAAATTTTTTTACTACTGTTTCTGTGGGTGTGGCTTGGTGGGCGTGGCAGGGGAAGGATACTGTAAAATGTCCAGTCAGAGGTGGTATTTGCCAGTTCTCCGAACTACTCAAAATTTCTGCTACCGGTTCTCCAGAACTGGTCAGAACCCACTGAATACCACCTCTGATCTATTTACCTATTGAGGTGCACACTTGCACACAAAAAGTAAAATTCCTCCTGTGAATTGAAGACGACTCATCCTGTCCTGATGTTAACTAAATTAGAAGTTGCTGTGCAAATAGTATGCCTTTCGGTAATTTTAATATATGTAAAGGTATTCTGCTCTTTGTTATTACAATATATAAAATGTTTGTTTTGATGTAGAAACATGAAATAATTTATTGGTGAACTTGTGTATTTTTATTTCTATTTTATACTGATGTTTCAGTTGACTATCTTTTGCCAATGAATATAACTGACTTTCCTCCTTTGCCCAAATCATGCAAGTGTTTTAATTGCTGCTTTATGAGTGGGGTTGTACCATTGCAGATTCAAAAAATGTATTAAGCCCATAATTTATCAATAATTTTAGGAATCTTTAAACTATAATGTAGGAACTATGGAAGATAGTTCAAGATTGTCAAGATTGAACGTTTAGGAGCTTTAGGAACTCCCGCCAAAACTTCGCTGTAAACTGCACTCCCGCCCCATTTGAAAATATGTGTGACTGTTAGGGGTTACAGCATACATAGGCCATAATTTATTTTTAACTTCACCCAACTTTCTCTGGATTCAAAATAGCAGTGTCCAATAGTTCCTTCCAGCTTTTGTCAGAAGGATAAAACAGCACTGGGCCACAAATTCAGCTCCTCTGAGATATATGGTAATGTGTTGGGGATGTGACTTCTATTGCAATATGTCAAGATGCTTCTGACTTCACCTATCTGTGGTGCCACTGCTTCAAAGACCTTGCTACTTCCTGACAAGTAATGCTAACACCAATCCTGATGGCCCTTCTGTTTGGTCTGATAGCGCAATCGAAGTCTTAATCCCAGTTTGGGCTTCCTCCTTTTCATGGGATCTGTTTATCGAGCACACTAAGATTTGTGAGATAAAACATGTTTATCCTTAAGCTCACGAGGAATACTGAGGATTCCTTCTATATCTGCACATGGAGAAATGTAAGCACTGAAATTACTTTTATAGATTTTTAAAGGTAATTAAGAGTTAATTTGGGCTTATGGCTTTGAAGTGTTGTGATATTTTTTATTTATTTTGCTATTCCACCAACTGATGAAGTCTCTCATCATGATATCAACATTACAAAATATCTTCTGATGTGGAAAATGCCTACCCCCCTCAAATTAGAACATATATTTTTAAGTTACCAAAAGTTTACAAAATCAACATAATAGTTCATGCGCTACATCAATACTTTCCATGAAAAATTAGCATTAACACATGCAATTAAGTGTTGAAGTGAGGTTTCAAGCAACTTTCTTTCCGAGAGGAGTGGGTTGCTGATTTCTGAGGTGGTAAACTGTTCGACTCTTCCAAGTTACATCTGACTAAAGTTATGATGGCGCTGAAATAAATGACTTATGACTGGTCCTTGGACTAACAACCAACAGTCTCCCAGTGGTTACAGTTGCAATTTTGAGAGCTTGGCCACTACCAGCATTTGTGGTTGCATGCGGTCATGTGATCACCATTTGCAGTCTTCCTAGCTGGCAAGCAAAGTCAATGAGAAAACTGGCAGGTAGTCACTGTCAGGATTCCAGCAGTTACTCAAATCATGAGCCTCAAGCCACACTCCCAAAACTACAAAGGAATTTTTAGCAGTTAACATGCTAGCATTTGCCTGGGCGTAGCCAACTCTGAGATATGTCTCTGTCACCCTTGATCCTGCTTTTCCCCTCACCCCTCTGGGCGTATCATACAACGAAACATGTCCATAGCCAAGAGTCATCAATCATGCTCTCCAATTACATTTTTTTTTGCAGCAGAAGCTTCAGTCATCTAATCAGTCTTTGAAGAAAATATGAATGGAATATACTTTTGATTCCACACTGCTGCCTGCTCTTTGAAACTCCCCCCTTCTTTCTGTTGACAACTATAAAATGTGTATACAAAATGTTTTATGAGTTGACAGTCACAGGTTGCAGTCATATGATGTCTTGTTTAAGGACTACTTTGCTTTGCAATGGAGTTGTGGGTCCCAGGTAGTGCCATTAAGTGAGGAATACCTCCACCTTCATTGGGCTAGTAAGAGAACATTAGTATGCATTGCCTTGTCTGTGAATGTAGGTAGTCCTTGTTTATTGACTGTCTTGTACAGTGACTATTTTCAGTTTTGACAGTGATTAAAATAAGTAATATTGAAACCAGTCTGTGCATTTACAATGTTCTCTGTAAAGCAAAGGAACACTGAAGTAAGATCATGAGCACAACCATGGTTTCACTTAAAGACCACTTCACTTAATGACCAAATTGCCAGTACCAATATCTGTAGTATTATAAATCTATAAAAACAGTACAAATGCTACTGTTTTAGTATGCATGCATATATGTTGATGTCATTTCAGGTAGTCATTGACTTACAATCATCCATTTAGTGACCATTCAAAGTTACAACAGCACTGACAAAGTGACATAAATATTTTTCACACTTACAACCATTGCAGCATTCCTATGATCATATGATGAAAACTTGGATGTATTTATGATAGTTGCAGTGTCAGCCTTGGAAGCCATTTTTTACTTGGAAGCTTTGAGGCTGCTACATTCAGTGCCTGAAAATTTGGGAGGGAGGATTTCATAATAGGGTAGAAGATTAGACATAACAACATTCTTTCTCAGAGAGTCAAGGACATATTGCCCTGCACTTGCAGAGGAGTGACTGGGTGGATGTCTCCAGTTGGGATGAAGATTTGATTGAGCCATGTGATGGACTGATCGGTGCAGGGGATGGATCTTTGATTTCTTTTTTGGGAAGGGAAAACTTCAAACTTTCAGATTCGGGTTTTCCCAAATGTGCCAATATGACAACTCTAATAAAATGGAACTTGAGGAACTGATTGTCTTGGAGTTTATTGGTATGGTTAGTTGAAACACTTGACATGCAGTATCCATGTAATTACCTTTTGTGACTTTTTGACAAGCAAAGACAATGGGAAAACCAGATTTACATAACTGTTTTGCTAATTTAACGGGAGCAGTGTTTTACTTTACTATGGCAAGAAAGGTCATAACATGGGGTAATACTCCTCCTGATTGAGTTTGATGCTTGGTGACTTCACATCCACATCCATATGTTGTGTTTTCCTGAAAATACAACCTATCCTGAAAGTAAGTCCTAGCTTGATTTTTACACATGCACCCAATATAAACCCTGCCCCCCCCCAAAATAAACCCTAATTAAGACCCCACCCACTCCAGGGTACACAGGAAAAGCTAGGGTGGTAATGGGGGTGGGTGGATCTGCCCTACTACTCATCTTTGGATAGTTGCAGCCAGGCCTCTCACTCCCAACACCTCCCTTGCCAGCCCATTTCTTCTGCAGCCAGCAAGGCTTTCCTGAAGGCTTCTGCAGCTGATAACAAAGCTTCAGAGCTCGGTTATTGGCTACAGAGGCCTTCAGAAAAGCCTTGCAGGCCTTGCTGGTTGCAGAAGAAATTCCTGAAGACTTCTGACAGTGAAAAGGAGGCCGGGGAAATGCGTGCAAGTGATGTGAGACAGTGGATGACACCCCCCACAAAATAAGACCTGGTGCCCTTTTTGTATAAGGCAAGTTCTTATTTTTTGGGGAAACACAGGTAGGTTTCCTGATAACAAAGGTAACATTTACCATTCCTTTGTTCCGGAAAGATTTTTTCACTTCCTAATACTGTATTACCTGAAGGGCTGGTAATCCTTGGTAGTCTCCCATCTAAAGGTTAACCTTTTCTCACTCTGGTTAGGTGCCAAGACAAGATCATCAGAATGCTGTTGGTTGCATTGTTCAATTCCTTGAGAAGGGATTTGATATTTTTGCAGTGAGCTGCTTAATTATCTGCTAGATGTATTTTTAAGATAAAGGGTTCAGAGCATGTCCCTCATCAGAGAATCAACATTAGAAAAGAGCAAGAAACACAGAAATAATAAAATTAGCAATTATAGAATTGGATAAGATCCAAAAGAGCCATTTTCACCAACACAGAATACATTAGAAAGTAATTAATTAGTAAGTAACCTATTAAGTAGTTCATAATATGTCATACAAAAGAGAAGTGAAGCCTAATTTTAAGATCCTGAAAGGAATGGGTAATGTATGTATGTATGTATGTGTTTTCTTAAGTTTTTGCAGGCATTTATATGTATGGTATTCAGCTTTGTTCGGGTATTTTCCCACATCATTATAGTTGTGCTTTTAAAGATGTAGCAACGTTTCGGCAGAATCTCATCTGCCATCATCAGGCTTCTGTATAGTGTTCGTCTGTGAGTCAGACTTTCACAGCCTCTTCTGTTTTAAATTTGGTGCTAGCCGACTGCTGTGCCAGAATGGTTTTTTTCTTCATCCTGATTGGTTGGGAGTTTTGGTCTGTTTTTATTGGTCTTAGAGTTTGCTGTGTTCTGCTTGATTGGTGTTTCTACTATCTTCTGTTTTGTAGCTTTTTTTGTCTTGATTGGCTGGCAACATTGTGTTTCTTGTATTGGAGGCTTTTAGTGCGGCTTGGCTCTGAGTAAACGGACAGCTATCATTTATTAGGAAGCTTCATCTGGGTGCCTGGTTGGGGTGTGTTTGAGCTGGAGGTATCAGGGGGAGTCTATTTGTGCCCAGGTGTTTGCCTGGCTTGTGATGTGGAGATTTTTTTGTTTGAGAGTGCAGGCTTCCAGATAATTGGCAGTCTGGTGGAGTCATCTCTTCTATTCATGCTTTCAGAGTTTTGTGGCTTTTTGTACCATTCCTAAATGTACTACTCTACAAAAAAACAGATGGCACACTAGGACACACCATATAC